AACAGAAGGCAAAATTTGGTGGATATATATTTGATGGGACAATGCTTTTTACTACTAATGATTTAAGAGGTACTAAAAAGGGGCATGAATTCCATTTAACGTCTGAGTATCATGATGGAAAGACGGTGCTTATTAATTTTAAAAATGTTGGAATTGTGGATCCAAATGAGGCTCAACTGTTCCAAGTATTGAATTTAATCTTACGTCAATCAATGGTTGGACTAGACTTACAAAGGATAGCCCATAATTTTTTTGATCCTTATGCTAAGGTAAATGTGACATTGTTTTTTTTTTTGTAAGAATGCAACTAGTAAATATTCTTACGACTAACAAGAATTTTTAGTTTGATAAATTATAAATGTTTTCGCTATGGTTTAATTACTTAGTGAGGTCAAAGAGGCGGCTATTGTATGTTTTAATCTCCGTGCTGAAAATAGAAAAAAGTACAATATTTTAAAAATCAAACTTTAGCAGAATATTTAACATATTCAGAGCTTTAGACATACTACTCTTACTTTGCAATGTTCTCAAATTTGTGTTACATATATTCATTTTAAAATAAACATCATATATCATTTATAGATATATTTATTTCACACATAATATGTATACTTGCAGATGAACATTGACCCGTGTCATATAGAAATCTGGCCGGGTTATATTACATCCATTCGTCAACATGAGCGCGATATTCTTCTCTGCGCTGAGATTACACACAAAATAATGCGCATCGAAAGTCTTTACAGCATACTTCGTCAACTAACGGTCGAAACTAAAGACTATCAAAAAGCTTTTAAGACTGAAGTCATTGGTAAGCAACAGAAATAATGTATGTATACATATGATTATATGGATCTTATTTTATTTTAGGCTCTATTGTGCTAACTGATTATAACAATAAAACTTATCGTATAACTGACGTTGATTTTGCGAGTTCTCCTCTATCGACATTTTCATTGAAAGATACGAAAGTTTCATTTGCTGAATATTTTAAATCGGTAAGTTTAGGTTTTAAATATATACAATTATTACTATAAACAAAACTAATTATTATGATATAAATATATTTGTATATATCAACAAATAGTTCCCAATCTTTTTATAATTTATTATAATCCTTCTTAGAAATTTACCAGTAGTTGAGTAGTACAAGTATTATATACTATTATTAACTACTATTGCGACTATTATACCAGCAGGAAGCTGATAGCTATAAATTAAAAAATGTAGCAATAGTTCATATTCTGATTTAAATAAGGCTATAAATAAGGCTATGTATAATTTATATATATATTTATATACTTTTTTTGTTGGGTTAATTCTAAAACCATATTCAACATATATATTTAGTGACTAATAAAAAGTTAATAATATTAGATAGTAAATGAAAATTTATTTAATGCGTTGATAGCATATTCGTTCACAGAAATAAGTTATAGCTCTGCATCCGAATTATTCTAACATTATTATTATTAATTATCATTATCACTGATTAACATTATTAGTATTAATTATCATGTCCCTGATTACCATTTTTATTATTAATTATCATTATCACCGATAATCACTCATTATTATTAATCATTATCACTGAATATCATTATTATTATTAATTATCATTATTATTATTAATTATCATTATCACTGATTATCATTATTATTATTATTTATTATTATTATTATTTATTATTGTCACCATTTTTATTAATAATTATTGTTAATATTAATAATAATTACCAATACTATTAATAATTATCGTTCTTATTATTATTATTTATTATTATAATTAATTATTATAATTATTGTAATTAAATATTACTCTTATTAATTATTGCAATTAATTATTATTATTTTAATTAATTATTATTAATTATTATTTTTATTATTATAATTATTATTAATTATTATTATTTTCAACTATTATTATAATTAATTACTATTATTATTATTAATTATTATTATTACTATTATTATTATTACTATTATTATTATTACTATTATTATTATTACTATTATTATTATTAATTATTATTATTAATTATTATTATTATTATTAATTATCATTTTTATTATTATTTATCATTATATATTTTATCACTATTTTCATTATAAATTAAACAAATAAATGATATATTATTATGTTGGACTTCAGAAAGATATTCTAATATAAGAGATATTAGATATATATACATTTTTATAGTACATATACTAATGCACCTTTGAAATGTTCCAATATTTGTAGCGTTATAATCTAATCGTCACCGACTCCAGTCAACCAATGTTAATATCGAAACCAACCAATAAGCATATACGTGGCGGTCAAGAAGAATTTATCTCATTGATTCCAGAGTTCACGCGTGCAACTGGTATAACTGATCATATGAGAACAAACGTTCGGTAAGTAATATTTTTTCTGTTATAACAACAGATGAACTGTTATTTTTTTGATATTTTATTTTAGTTTCATGAAATCGATGAGCGATCATACTCGGCTTAATCCGGAAAGGAGACTAGAGCGCTTAAGAAATTTCAACGAACGTCTCAATTCTTCTGCTAAAAGTACACAGGTTCTTCAAGAGTGGAATATGAAATTGGATAAGGATTTACTTAAAATTCCAGCACGTATTTTACCCTGTGAAAAAATCTTACTAGGTCGTGGTGTTCGATATATATGTGATGGGAAAGCTAACTGGACCCGTGAGTTCCGAAACTGTTCAATGTTTTGTAATGCCAAAATAAGTCGTTGGCAAGTAATCCTTCCATCGCGTTATTGTCGTGAAACTCAATCGTTTGTTCAAATGTGTATCAAGGTAGCAAAAAATATGAGTTTGGTATTGGTCCCACCAAAATAGTAAGTACTTATAAGACAAATTGTATCATTTAATGTTAAAGAAGAATATGTATTATTATTTAAACCTCAAAACTACTTATAAATAGATTATTAAAACATAAAACTCCTTATATATACCATATGATAGACCTATATGTTTATGAAGTCAATTGTTTCCTTGGCAGTAATATTGCAGGAAACTGCAATGTTTAGTTTTAATTGCCGAGGGAATGAATATTGTAACTTGTTTGTGAATTTTTTAAGAGGACTCTAAAAATGACGACAAGCTTGATAAACGTAATATGCGAATTTTCCGAATGTTGTGGGCCTGAAACGGACGGCAGTATTGAACTATTGTGCTTCTACAATAGTTCGAGAAAAACTTACTATTGCTTTATTAACGAAGCCATTCTTGTCTCCATTCTTGGCACTTTATAACTTAAAAACCGTCTAACAATGTACCTCAAACTCGAAATTACAGTGACATATCAAAGTATGTCCTCAACATACTCAACATAAGGAATGAAAGATTGAAGATAAATATGAGATCATATCTCATAACTTTAAAATTCGACGGCTGTCATTAAATAGCCTTGACATTATGGAAAATCAGATTATATACACCTTCAGAGTGTAATTTAAACTTTATTAAAGCACTTGTTTAGTGCGCTTTAATAGTTTAACAAGAAATTGTCTTATAAATATAATTAACCTTAAATTTCTTTGCTTTGTTTGTTTTTACCTAATATAGCATTGAAATGGATGACGATCGTAATAAGTCTTATACAACCGCAGTTGAAATGGCATCATCAGAGGATCCTCAAATTTTAATGATTGTTATTCAACAACCCAACGAGGAAAAGTAAATATTTAATATACATATTTCTATATACTTTCATTATTTCATTATTACATTGTGTTTCAGGTACTCTGTCATTAAAAAGAAGTGTTGCATCGATCGTCCCATAGCTTCACAAGTTGTGACTATGAAAATGATAGCACCTACTTCAGGAAAAAGTGCAGGTTTGATGTCAATCGCTACTAAAGTTGTCATACAAATGAACGCCAAACTTCGTGGTATTCCTTGGATGATTGATCTACCTCTCAAGGGTCTAATGACAGTTGGATTTGATGTTTGTCATTCTTCCAAGGATAAGAATACCTCTTATAGCGCCCTTGTTGCCACAATGGATGTGCGCTGTTCATCAAGATATTTTTCGGCTGTTAGTAAGCACCAAAAATTTCAAGAGCTGTCCAATGATATTATACTGCATTTCACATTCGCTTTGAGAGCATATGCTAAAGAACACGGAACTTTACCTGAAAGAATTCTGTTTTATAGAGATGGTGTCGGCGATGGTCAACTGCATCAAGTAGTAAATACTGAGCTTAACCATTTACGAATCAAGGCACAAGAAATCTATGAAGCGGCTGGAAAACATGAAATTGTACCACGTTTCGCTTTCATAGTTGTTTCCAAACGTTTAAATACTCGGCTGTTCATTAATAATTGTAATCCACCACCAGGAACAGTTGTAGATGATATTATAACATTGCCGGAACGTTATGATTTCTTCATAGTTTCACAAAGTGTACGCCAGGGAACGGTTTCTCCAACGAGTTATAATGTAATTTACGATACCATGGGTCTCACTCCAGATCGTATACAAATGCTTACTTACAAAATGACCCACATGTACTATAATTACACAGGTACCTGTCGTGTCCCGGCTGTTTGTCAGTATGCACATAAGTTGGCTTATTTAGTTGCTGAAAGCATACATTGTCCACCCTCTCAATTGCATGAAAAAAATTTATACTTTTTGTAAAAGTTAATATTAATATAACTTTTACTTTATAGTTAGTTAATATAACTAACTTTTAATTTCAATATTAATATAAAAATTTTTTTTAATTTAATTACATCATCATTATTAACCAAACGAACATTAATAAAAATTGTTTAAAAGATTTGTGTAAAAATAATGAGAAATTCTTATAAATTTTTCTAGAATATCTCAATATTTATAGTGTAACTAAAAATAAAAATGTAAAATATTTACAATGTATTTAACAAATGTTAAGTAACTACAAATAAAACATCTTTTAAACAAATTTAACGTATTTTTTATTAAAGGAAAAGAGAATAGTCTCTAATAAGGAGACTGGTATAACTGATCATATGAGAACAAACGTTCGGTAAGTAATATTTTTTCTGTTATAACAACAGATGAACTGTTATTTTTTTGATATTTTATTTTAGTTTCATGAAATCGATGAGCGATCATACTCGGCTTAATCCGGAAAGGAGACTAGAGCGCTTAAGAAATTTCAACGAACGTCTCAATTCTTCTGCTAAAAGTACACAGGTTCTTCAAGAGTGGAATATGAAATTGGATAAGGATTTACTTAAAATTCCAGCACGTATTTTACCCTGTGAAAAAATCTTACTAGGTCGTGGTGTTCGATATATATGTGATGGGAAAGCTAACTGGACCCGTGAGTTCCGAAACTGTTCAATGTTTTGTAATGCCAAAATAAGTCGTTGGCAAGTAATCCTTCCATCGCGTTATTGTCGTGAAACTCAATCGTTTGTTCAAATGTGTATCAAGGTAGCAAAAAATATGAGTTTGGTATTGGTCCCACCAAAATAGTAAGTACTTATAAGACAAATTGTATCATTTAATGTTAAAGAAGAATATGTATTATTATTTAAACCTCAAAACTACTTATAAATAGATTATTAAAACATAAAACTCCTTATATATACCATATGATAGACCTATATGTTTATGAAGTCAATTGTTTCCTTGGCAGTAATATTGCAGGAAACTGCAATGTTTAGTTTTAATTGCCGAGGGAATGAATATTGTAACTTGTTTGTGAATTTTTTAAGAGGACTCTAAAAATGACGACAAGCTTGATAAACGTAATATGCGAATTTTCCGAATGTTGTGGGCCTGAAACGGACGGCAGTATTGAACTATTGTGCTTCTACAATAGTTCGAGAAAAACTTACTATTGCTTTATTAACGAAGCCATTCTTGTCTCCATTCTTGGCACTTTATAACTTAAAAACCGTCTAACAATGTACCTCAAACTCGAAATTACAGTGACATATCAAAGTATGTCCTCAACATACTCAACATAAGGAATGAAAGATTGAAGATAAATATGAGATCATATCTCATAACTTTAAAATTCGACGGCTGTCATTAAATAGCCTTGACATTATGGAAAATCAGATTATATACACCTTCAGAGTGTAATTTAAACTTTATTAAAGCACTTGTTTAGTGCGCTTTAATAGTTTAACAAGAAATTGTCTTATAAATATAATTAACCTTAAATTTCTTTGCTTTGTTTGTTTTTACCTAATATAGCATTGAAATGGATGACGATCGTAATAAGTCTTATACAACCGCAGTTGAAATGGCATCATCAGAGGATCCTCAAATTTTAATGATTGTTATTCAACAACCCAACGAGGAAAAGTAAATATTTAATATACATATTTCTATATACTTTCATTATTTCATTATTACATTGTGTTTCAGGTACTCTGTCATTAAAAAGAAGTGTTGCATCGATCGTCCCATAGCTTCACAAGTTGTGACTATGAAAATGATAGCACCTACTTCAGGAAAAAGTGCAGGTTTGATGTCAATCGCTACTAAAGTTGTCATACAAATGAACGCCAAACTTCGTGGTATTCCTTGGATGATTGATCTACCTCTCAAGGGTCTAATGACAGTTGGATTTGATGTTTGTCATTCTTCCAAGGATAAGAATACCTCTTATAGCGCCCTTGTTGCCACAATGGATGTGCGCTGTTCATCAAGATATTTTTCGGCTGTTAGTAAGCACCAAAAATTTCAAGAGCTGTCCAATGATATTATACTGCATTTCACATTCGCTTTGAGAGCATATGCTAAAGAACACGGAACTTTACCTGAAAGAATTCTGTTTTATAGAGATGGTGTCGGCGATGGTCAACTGCATCAAGTAGTAAATACTGAGCTTAACCATTTACGAATCAAGGCACAAGAAATCTATGAAGCGGCTGGAAAACATGAAATTGTACCACGTTTCGCTTTCATAGTTGTTTCCAAACGTTTAAATACTCGGCTGTTCATTAATAATTGTAATCCACCACCAGGAACAGTTGTAGATGATATTATAACATTGCCGGAACGTTATGATTTCTTCATAGTTTCACAAAGTGTACGCCAGGGAACGGTTTCTCCAACGAGTTATAATGTAATTTACGATACCATGGGTCTCACTCCAGATCGTATACAAATGCTTACTTACAAAATGACCCACATGTACTATAATTACACAGGTACCTGTCGTGTCCCGGCTGTTTGTCAGTATGCACATAAGTTGGCTTATTTAGTTGCTGAAAGCATACATTGTCCACCCTCTCAATTGCATGAAAAAAATTTATACTTTTTGTAAAAGTTAATATTAATATAACTTTTACTTTATAGTTAGTTAATATAACTAACTTTTAATTTCAATATTAATATAAAAATTTTTTTTAATTTAATTACATCATCATTATTAACCAAACGAACATTAATAAAAATTGTTTAAAAGATTTGTGTAAAAATAATGAGAAATTCTTATAAATTTTTCTAGAATATCTCAATATTTATAGTGTAACTAAAAATAAAAATGTAAAATATTTACAATGTATTTAACAAATGTTAAGTAACTACAAATAAAACATCTTTTAAACAAATTTAACGTATTTTTTATTAAAGGAAAAGAGAATAGTCTCTAATAAGGAGACTATTAGAAAGTACTTAATGTTGGTTGATAAATCTCGTAGCTTGTATCTAACCTTTACAGTTCATCTATTATTGGGAGTTTTCCCAGTATCTGAAGCAGTCCACTATATCCCCTCTCGCCAGACTACAACATGGCTGAGGTCCAATTATTTTACCTTGAGCTACTTGTTTAGCGGGACGGTCAGCCTTTGTTTGCCTTCATGTCCTTTACGTCCCCAAAATTTACCACAAGGGGTAATTTAATTATTTTGTCCCGGTTTATTAAGGAGATTCATGAGTTTAATGCGGGTAAGGCCTACTTAACTGTCAGACATTATATTGATTGTCACTCTATTACTCCTTATTTTCAGAGTTTCGGTTGAAAGTCAATTTGGATCCTTCTGTATTCCAGACTTGCAAACTATCACTTATAAAATTAATTTTTTTTGTCCAATTTTCTCAATTGAAAATGTTAATTTTAAGTTTTTTTACAAAATTGATTATTTTGGAATATGATCAGGTGTCCCAAGGTACGCATTATCAAATACTATACACTTTATAGTGGCCAAACGTATACTCTTAAATATTTATTGTCCTGCTCAGCATCATTTATATTCGAAAGCTCTTAAGACTTAAGCATTTGGTTATCAATTTCTATTGATAATGATATTTAACGTTTATAAAATCTGTCTCTTCTATGCGATGTTGAAATTAAACTGTAGTTGTATAAAATTGACGACTATAGTGATTGGAACTGAACCAAGCGATTGGAAGCGAAATCTTAATATCGATTTCATAGGGTCTATATGATGATCGACACTTCTCTGCTAGTGTTTTCCAGAGTATCTGTAAATAATTATAATTAAATATTATTAAAAGTTTAGATAAATATGCTAGAGAACAATAAATGTTAGTGGTGCTATTATTGTTATACCTATATGTACATATTATGTACTTTGTATATAACAGCACAAAGTCCCAGAAAAAACGGAATTACTGTAACTAGCTTGCTTCCAACTAAGACTTGACATATGTAAAACAAAAATAGGGGAATATATAGCAAAGAAAGAAGTGATTATCAGCATATGAACTGAGCCCCTTAATAAAGAATTAAACGAGATGGAGCTTTGTCAAAAATGGAAAATTATTTTTCCTGGCTGAATAGAGCGAGTAACTCAAAGACGTAGCAGTTTCAACTTCAAACTGCAGCTCTATAGCTTACAACGTCCATCATATGTTAAATCATCCTAAAACACAAACAAAACTGAGTCCAATGGAGTTTTGCGTCTGCTGAACCAAGGTTGTAAGATAATTAAAAATCCTTGATTCAAATAATATATAATCACACTATACGCTTCTCTTATCCATCTTTTTACAATTACTTTATTTCACGCTACAAAACTTTAGCATTTACTTCCATTACTTTTAACACGACACATTTAGTGTGCTTTCTTCTTCCTTACTCATCCTTCCTATTGAGAAATATAATAATATAATGCTACCTGTATAAACACCGAAACACCGTATAATGAAAGACTCACCAGAACCTTAAATTTATATTAGTAAAAATTGTAACGCTTACGAAATGGTTTAGAGCTATGTAGTATGACCGTGTGCAAGTTCGAGTAAATTGAGATAAAGTAAATTAAAATTTTTTTTACATTGCACTTATATAAATATTTATTTATTTATTTATTGCTCTTATTTATTATTTTTGGTTAAAAGTTTTCAAATTTATTTATTAAACATCCTATAAAATTTTCACAATGGTAACACCAACTTTACCTAATTTTTATCTAATTTACCCTACTCGAAATTGTGGTACATGCCACCATTCGCTGACATAATTTACTAATTCCCTTAATTTACCATCAATTTACTCGAACTCGCACACGGTCACAATATGAAATCCATTTACTCAATTTTCTTATTTTAGAATAGAAGATAAATAAAGAAGATTTATGTAATATTTCTTTTTTTGAAAAATTTTTAATGTGCTATGATTCCATATCCCAGGATGTTTAAGATTCAATCTAAACAATCTAATATAACTACTACTATAATATAAAGGCTATAATATAATTTCATTTCTATAAGGCCTTAATATATAATATTGCTTTAAGTTATTTTTTATTGTTTCAATAAAATAATTAGCTACACAAGTCAATAATATAGATTATATA